TGTGTGTGTGTGTGTGTGTGTGTGTGTGTGTGTGTGTGTGTGTGTGTGTGTGACATTGTTTCCCCACCCCATGCCCGATCTCTATGCTTGACGCCATCTGGTGTGTGTTTAACCGAAAGCAAAACACGATAAAGATGTCAATTTGCATAGCTTTAAACTTCGTTATATCTATGAGTTCAGAAAACACTCAGCTGGATAAACTAAGATCAAATAACTCCTTTTTTAAAAGGACAGATGAATATAAACAGAGTTTGTGAAAAGACAGGTTTATTACCTTCATAAACAGGAATCAGAGCCACGTTCTTTAGACCAACCGTGACGTATCGGTTCTGTAGTGGCACGAGCTTGAGAAGGCCTATAAAAAACTCCCCCAGGTGAGAAATCCTCTCTAAGCTACCAAACGCCGAGCTGTTAGAAAAATAGACAGAAAAAATGTGTTATCAAGCTGATGTCTTTTTTCTTTCAACTCAGTACTGTCAGTTCCGCAAGAAAACCTAGGGACCTATTAAAAAACAATGTTTACGAAAACATAATAACATTTGAGTTTACACAATATTGTACCAACAGGGGCGTTTGAAGAGTAGCGGATACTCAAGAGGCAAGTTACAACTTTCTCACATTCAAAGTTCTTAGCCACTGAAGACAGTGATAGTTTATGAAAGTTAAATCATTCTTCCCATTGCGTATGATAGTTTTAACTTGTACAAAGAGCGGTCTTATAGCAAATTTACTCTCTCTCTCTCTCTCTCTCTCTCTCTCTCTCTCTCTCTCTCTCTCTCTCTCTCTCTCTCTCTCGTTCTACGTCTTTCGTCTTTGTGTGTCTTTCCATTCGGTTCCGAATGTAATGACAATTTTAATATACATAAACGTGCATTGACATGGCACATTTGACCTAACGTTAGCAACCAACTTCGTTAAAACGCAAAGGTTTTCAAAGTTCGATTTTCAGTTGGCCTGTACTTTCTTTTATTCTTTCCTTCGTTTACGGTGCAACTTTTGAAAAACAAAGTTACCTTCCTCAGCAAAGAACTCACCATCGTACGGGTATGGAAAAAACTTCTAGATCTAGATCTAGTTCCAAAAAAACAACAACAACAACAACAAGAAAGAAAAGAAAAGAACAGAAGAATTACTCGTCGCATAGCTTTTCACGGTCACTAGATTCCAGATCGATCGGTTTAGAAGGTCAGGTCTGTATTTATTCATCGTTTCAACAAATGCGCGTGAGAGGTAGAAGGGGGTCATGGACCTCAGTAGCTCACACGTTGCAAAGAAACTGGGTGTGAATGTGATCCAAGCGGCTGTTACCTACCCGCTGTTGTCCTTAGCAGATCTCATGTAGATCTCAAAGTCAGAAGACACCCAACTGAACAACTTGGCGATCTTCGTAAGATCAGCTCTATCCAAAGGATGGAGTCCCACTGCCAGTAACATCCCTCTGTGTCCTGAAGATATAGAACCATTAACAGTAATTAAAAACAGAATCAAATTATGGACATTAAAACAAATATACAGCACTTAGACAAATTGTAATAGACCAACATGAGGATATAAATACCAAAGACCACCGAACACCTTTCTGTCCTAAAAAGATGGCATCCCTTTTATATAATACTATTTTTTTGCTCACGTTCAGCTTCGTATCGTACACAAAATGGATATTTTAAAGGTGGAGTGTTTGACTCAGGAGCCGTATCCGTATTTAGTTTAAAATAAGAAAAGAAGGCGGATGTTTCACACGTACGTCATCTAAGGAAAAATGCTCATGCGTGTTATTGTTATTTCCCATTAGATTGAATTCATTTCTAATGAGGTTCCCATTCACAGGCATACACTCGTACAAATGTTCATTTTAGAATTGTACTCTCGAATGCACATACAAGCGCTCGCATAGTCACGTAAAGGCTCTAACCACCCTTGTTCCTGCACCCCCCCCCAACCCCCCCAAAAAAACAAAAAAACAACAAACAACAACAACAACAAACAAACAAACAAACAAACAAAACCCACCAAACAAAAAGACAAACAAACAACAACAAATAAACAAACAAACAAACAAAAACAACAACACTGCACCACACTCCTGGTAGTTTTAATGTTATCATAATAAGGCTAACCCCAGTCATTGTGGCCTAAAGGCTCGGAAACTGTATAT